CTTCTAGATAGAATGGAAGGTTTTAGTGGAATAAGTAAAAATAAATTTTTTTAATTTGAAATTCCAAATTTGGCAGTTTAAAAATGTATTAATTTAAATTATTGTAGTACAAACAGATTTGGAATTATCAATAATAAATTTTTCGAGAAAAAGAAAAAGGATTTTATCATTATCATGTTGTTTCTTCTATCATCATCAACCTTTGTACATGTGAACTAAAATCATAAGATTTCTATAATTTATATAAGGTTTTCTAAAGTTTCTATTTATAATAACAATGAATGAATGAAGGGATGGATTAATAATTTTTTTCGTTTACAAATTCGTTCATTCATTTTGCTCTTTATTAAATTTCTTAACCAAAATTCACTTGATTCTATTACAAAATTGATTAATGCGCATATTTTTATTGCTTTAATAAGAATAAAATTTTTTACCAGGTAACGTATATATATATGTGCAAATAATAAATAAATAATTAATCCAAAGAAATTTTCTTTAGAGAAGGAAACAATTAATTGTGGTATAATATTAAATGATGTTTGTTTAATTTAGTATTAAAAAATTTAAAAATAAAATTTAAAAAAAAAGACAAATTTTTTAAAGAAATTCTTTTTTAATCATTCATCCCAAGATGGAGAATTTAATGTAGATTATTTCATTCCAACTCCGTCTAGAACCAATTAAATATATTTAGCCACAAAATTTGAGAAAAGATTTCTTTCCTTCCGTAGCACCACTAAACAAAACAGTCGACTATGTGGCTTGAACCTATAAAAAGAGGAAGTTTTAGCCATTATTTTTCAATCCTCCAAATCCAAATAATCAAATAATTCGATATTCATCGCAGCAAAAAAATTATTGATTTTGTACTTACGCAGGAAAAAAAAAAACTATAAATACATCCTTTTCGCCCCTCTCATTATTTTCTTTGCAAACAAAATATTAATTTTCTTTTAATCAATATCATTTTACAATTATTTTTTGTTTGTATTTATTTTTATTTCTTTAAATAACCAGTTGGTAAGCATTATATTATAATTTAACTTTTACAACACAAAATAAACATCATCTATTTAAATAATTTGTTATTTTATTTCTTTATAATAACCAGAGTGTAAGCATTATATTATAATAAACTTTTACAACACAAAATAAACATCAACTAATTAAA